TACATGCATACAGACATAGTGACAACCTCGCGGGGATAGTCAGGGAAGCTTCCTGTGACCTTCAAACGTCGAGATCTGATGAAAACTCGATTTTTGCAAAACGGGGTGAAAACAATAACTTCCCGATTTTTGAAAATCTGAGATTTTTAGCAGGAAGTTAAAAATTTCGAAATTTTTTTTCGGTGATTTTCTTAAGATTAACTCAGATCCAAAAACTAGCTGCTGAGATCTGCAATTTGCTTTTTTTTTTCATTTACTGTACGACGATTTTTCTACAAGCTACAGTCTGTTAAAAATCCCCCAAAAATTTTGATTTTTTTCTTGCTGCTTTAATTTTTGTGAGAAGTGTGTTAAATTGAAAATAGATGTGTCAGATAACCATTCGTTACATTCGGAGAGTTGGACAGCTGCTCCTCACTGTGATCTAATTCATCTGGGGTGACAGAACTATCGCGTAAAGGAGTAGGCTGTAAAAAATTTAATACACAATTATTTAAAAGTTTCCAGAACATATCGAAACAAATAAATAGAGCGATTCTTACATGGAGTGTTGGATTAAGATGAAAGTCGTCGTCGGATGATTCATCTGAGTCACTAGAGTGATAATAAAAAGCGAATGTCAATAATTAATAACAGTACCTGACAGTAACTGAATAGTTAATAGTTCAACACTTACTGGTATGAAGGATTATCAGTTAGCAATCTGCGTTTAGATCTCAATTTCCAATCGTAGAATGTGCGTATAGGCAGTGTATCTGAATTACCAGGTATCAAATATTATTTATAAGGACCTCGTTTTTGTGAAGTCATGTTTTGCTTTTATTTACAGTTAAGAATTTCTGTTAATGTAAAATCGATAAGATAACTTTTTGAATTAATTACTATTGAATAAAAAACAATATCATGAAAAAGTCACACAGTATACAATGATATGAACAACGATAGTTGATGATGACGGTAATGACAGTAAAAAAAAAAAACAAAAACACAAACAGTACAGTGAAGAAAATGTGTAAGAATAAATTGAAAAAAAAAAAAAAAACTCTAAAATCTATAGGTTTTAAAAATAAAACACATGACACTGAATATAGCATAAGTGCAGGTACTGTATGCTTATGTAAAAAATGTATTGGAGCTGCCAACTGACTATTTAAAACTGAAAAAAAACGTTTGGAAAATCCAAAAGTGCACGACTCATAATGCTTATTTAATTATGAAATATAAAAAAAAAAAAAACTTAAGTCGTTCAAAATTAATTGCCGAAAAAACAGCTGTAGTAGGAAGAAGGTACTGCACAAGCGCCCCTGGTGAAATAAATGTACATAATATCTATAGATATATCACCATCTATATGTTAATTTTCTATGGATATAAATGGATGTACAGTCTTGTAGTTTTCGTTTTTTATTAATTGTAATTAAACGACACTGAATTAGTTAGCCATTCGCATTCAGTCACCTACAATTGTCGATTAGAATTTAAAAAAAAAATTTAACCCAAATAATGGATTTTTTCACAAGTAACAGTGTTTCCAGGGTTTCATACATGACGGACAGGAAAATTTTTTGACCTATTTTGATGTTTTTTTCCGTTTCTATTGCAGTAAATCAATTTTTAGAAAGTATGAAATTAATCTCCATTAGATTATCTCGACAATAGTATGCAAAATATCTTGATTCCGTGAACTTACAAGGCTATAATTCTAAAAATAGTTGCCAAAATGAGGCGAAAAAAATTTTTCGATCGTAAAAAGCACTCTCTGATACTTCGCATCATGAGTCATGCAAAACACATGAATAAGTCTTTATTGAGAAATTCTCATCTCTAGATACTCCAACAACTATCCATAATACTTCAATTGATATGATTCCTTCTATCCTAAGCGATTAAGCTCCAGGTTCTTATAATTATATTGAATTCGCTCATAAGCAAAATTTTCTTTGTAGCAAAGTAAATACTAAGTAAAACACATATGTTCAAGTCTCCATGAAATACTGTGAGAGCTTTCATTTTTAAACTCTTCTACCTTACGCTCCTTCAACTTTAAAACCAACATTTTTACCATACATGATTAGTTTACATGATGATAAGTTTACGGTAAATTTGCTCCCAACCTGAACAACGGCATATTTCTCCATGTTCCGTTTTCAATACTTGTCATAATGTTATCATCTCTAGCACGAGCAGCCAGAAAATGCACACCGTCCATATGGAATATTGTCAATAATCTTGAAGAGGTTAGTTTTTCAGGTTTCGATTCGGAAATCATGGCTAACGAGGCGGTCAAACCAATAACAGAAAATAAGTAATCTTATTCCTAAAGAATTACTTATTTCAAGTATAGAACCTTCATTACCCCAAATTCTGTCAGATGCTATCATTTTTAAAAAATCTACAATTGTTGGATTCAATATCACATCTGCATCATCATTACCTGATCTAACTTCTATGACTCCTTCTTTACACAATATTGCATAATGATCACGATTCAAAAAAACATAATTGATTATGAAAAGTTTAATAATAGGATATTTATTTTCGTCTTCAAGTAAAAGTTCAGCAATTGCTCGAAAGAAACAGTTGCCGTCACCATTAACATTGGTAATATCGAAATTATCTAAAAGTTTTTTAGGGAATCGTTTTTTGTTTACAGGTTTTCTGTCTGCTTTCTGTACTAAATGTTTTTTTATGAAAACACTTTTAGTGTTACAATCATTTATGATATTCTTGAGACTAGAAAATATACAAAAAATAATTTTTTCATTTTCTTTTAATATTTTTTCTATTTGAAAAAAAGTTGTATTATTATTATGGATTTTATTTAAAATTTCTCTAATATCTAATACATTAACATCACAAAGGTTTTTTGTCTCTGTTAGATTATTCTGATGTGTAGAAATATTATCAAATCTTTCCACAGAAATATCAACGTTCTTTCGAGAATCTCTGCGTACTTGATTATCACGATTAAAAAGGGTTTATATTTTAGTTTCAATAATAGGTATACCTTGCCAGGTATCACCATCGAATTTTGGAGAGTTTGAGTTTCTATGAGCCACTAAGAAATGATGATTAACTTCATTCACTATTGTTAACGGTATCAACGATTGAGGATTACTTGGTACTTATCTGAAAATATGACTCATCTTATGTGTTTTTGAGGCTACACCTATGACAACAACAATTATTTTTAATGCATCACTTATCGCATAGAGCGAACCTTCATTTCCCCAAACATGATCCCGAGCTATTATACGCAAAAAATCGTCAATTTTCGGATCAGGTATATTCAATCCATCTTCGTCTTGGACAGAGATTGCTCCACGAGAAAGAAGCGTATTATATTTGGTTTTGTTACAGCGAATATATTTTATGATAAATAACCTAATATTCATATATTCATTTTCATTGAGACTTATAGATTTAGCTAATGTCCGAAATAAACAATTACCATCTTTAATAACATCACTGAAGGTAAATGTTTCATTCAGTAATTTATTTATTGCAGCATTTTGACTTGACAAGTCTTCTATATTCAACTTGATTTCACAACGATGAGAATTTTTCGAAAGGTTGCTATGGAAATTATTGATACTACTACTTGTGGCGTTGTATATTTCAAGTGTCAATTTAGATATGGTGTTGCTATTATGATCCAAAATTATTTGAATTTTATCTAAAGAAGAATCACTGTCAGAAATTTTGAGTAATATTTCTTCAACAGATAGAGAAGTTGATTTTTCAACTTCATCTGTCTTCTTTTTACACAGAACACTTGTAGTATTTTTAAGTGGAACGTTTTTAGAACCCTTACTAATAGTAATTTTCTTAGGTTCTTCCTTAGTTTCAAAATTCGATTGAATTGGTTTTGAAATACAAGTTTTTGATGATACTAAGTGATCAACTAAAGTTCTGTCGACTACTTAATTTGCTTCACTTAAAAAAAATATCGGCTTATGATCCGAAGTAATACTATCATAAGTTCCTGATGTATAGCTAGTTAAATTGGAGAATATCATATCAATTTGAGTATTATGATTAGTAGTTAAAATCGATGGAGATAAGGATCTTTTTAAATTACGATTTTCATTCATGTATTTTCCCAGCTATGATACTTCATGACTATAGCAATCTTGATTAAAGTCACCAATAATTACTATGTGACTATTTATATCGCATGAATTAGTCATGTTATTCATGCACTTCTTGAATAAATCTCGAGTAGCATTAGGAGATTTATAACCGCCAATGACAAACAAGTCATTTATTTTTAAAGTTACTAAATCAACATGTTCTACTTTGTTCTCTAATTGTAAATCTTGAGTCACATTAATGATAGTAGAGACAACACAGTTTTGTCTCTTATAGACCACTAATCTTCGTAAAAATTTCCTACTGACATTTTTCTCATCAGATCTGAATTCAATATCGAATCCATCAATAGAAATATCATCATTAGGTAATGTCCGTGTTTCAGCGAATATCATAACATCAGCTCCATGAAACCATTTATCATTTCGAACGCAGCCTATATATTTACGTAATGATAAGGCGTTATGAAAAATAATTTTAATCCCATGTAAATCATCTAATGGTTGTTCGAAAGTTATTAAGCGTTTTTCATTTTTTAACCTGTCTATTTCAACCTTAAGGTTGCTGGTGTTGTCTAACGGAGCTGGTGGCTTAAAGTTTCCATCGATATACAAATTTTTAAGATCTGTAACTCGACTATATGCAACATACTGCATTGTACGTGTCATTCCTTGATTATGCACACAAACATATGGATAAGTTTGACCTTGACTTTTGTGAGTTGTGACACTTTCAGCACAAATTAAAGGAAATTGTTTTCGTGCAGCCATTTTTTTACCGACTGCAATGTCTGTAACTACGATTGGAAAAATAGGAACAAAATTTGTATTTTTTAATTTAAAATCATTATTTATATGATGTAAGCTTTTGTTTCGAGTAGTTCGTCCGATACATTGTCATCAAACTCTAACCACAAAATCGTAATTTCATCTGAATTTTCTTTTTGTGTGATATGTCTGAGAACGCCGGTTGCTCCATTCACTAATCCTTCTTTCGTACTTATGTTACGAGTTATCATCAATTTAATACCAATTTTTACATATAGAGTTTTAGGCAAACAGCCAGTTTTATTGGTTGGAAGTTTATGAAGAGCATTGAGAGTCTTATCAATGATTTTTTCACTCATTTTTCTCTTACCTTGAATTTCATCTTTAGCCTCGTGTACAAATAACTCACCTTTCATATTTGTGATTTTTTTTTCATTAAAAGCATCAACATCTTTATTTGTGTAAAAAAGGTGAATTGCTTCATGAGGTACATTTTCTAAGTTACATCGTGATCTAAATAGTTGTATGTCGCTATCAGTCATTGTACCCATAGAAAGATTATTTAAAGCATTGATAAAATTTATGTTGTCTTGCCGCATTACTTTAGTTAGTTCATAATATTCGAAGTCAAGCCAATTATCTGTTGCAAATAAAGCATTATATGTAGGATCTGCAATATTGGGCTGAAAAGGTTTACCAGGATGCTGCTTATTCCACAGCAATTTTTTATCTCTTAAATAATGAAATGCTGTATAATAAATATGTTTATCCATAATAGGTGGAAGCTGTCTTAAGTCTACAACAAAAATTATTGACAGTCCGCCAAATGGAGAGTTGTTTCCTGCTATTTGTTGAAGACGAGTATCGATTTGGTTCAATCGATTTCGACCTATCATTGAAACCTCATCTATTATGACAACTTTTACGTTTCGCATTTCAAATCTTAAGGATGTAACAACGTTAGAACTCAATGCTGAAATGTTCTTACTCATGTTGTCTATAGGTAAACAAAAACAACTGTGTACAGTGACACCATGAATTACAAATGCAGCTTTGCCAATGGTTGCAATGGTTGGAATTTTTATTTTCAGCAAAATTATCAACAAAGTCATCTGGCTGATTTTCTTTAGGGATAAAATCTTTATTTTCATCCTCATTTTCATCATTATGATCATCGTCTTCCGCTTCTTTTTCTTTAAAAATATCTGCGAGATAGCTCTCTTCCATTTGGTATATCAATGATTGATTTGTTTTTATAAGATCTAAATTTTTTTCGTAAATATTTTTTCGATATTCATCGGAACTTTCAATTTCAATTTTTTCATCACGAAATGGTAAAAAAAGTAGTAATTGTTCTCGATAATAATTAGATTCATCTTGGTGTTTATTGTAGTGACGCGAACATAAAATCTGTCGTTTCTTGCGTTTTTTTGCATCATCTTCTTGATTAACGCTAGCATTGTCTTCCTCACAATTAGAATCATCATTCGAATTATAACCGCTTTTTGCTTTCAGCTTATTAGGATCGCTATATCCAGTAGCGAAATCTGCTAAGCCTATTGGGAAACTGAGGATTTAAATACGCCGCCTGGTGGTTTAAATTCAAATTAGCGATTGTAGGATAGAATCATGTTTAACACAATGTTAATATCAATAAAATAGCAAAATACAGTGTAATTTTTATTAAAAAAGAAAATAAGCAATACAAAAAGTGAATTTCGTAATCATACATTTATAAAAAATTAATATACTTACATCAATATAATTATAAAAATGGAATTTTCTCCACATAAAAATAAAGAATTGATGGTGTAAACTACTTACAAAAAAAAAATCATTTCGGAGTCAAATATAAAATTGATGATGTAAACTATTTACAAAAAAAAACATCAATAAAAAAATTAATTAAAATAAAAATTATTTAAAAATATTTTGCTAAAGCTGATGAAGAATTTTCTTCCACGATTATTTTAAGAAATTCTTCATATTCTGCTTCATCTAATTCAGTTAAACCCATGCTTAACCATACTGGAGGATCAGTAGCAGCTTCTTTTGGAGTGACGTATTTGCCTTAGAGTGATCTGATAGATTTCTTCATTTTAACTTTATCTTCATCTTTTTTTTTGTTTTTCTTCAATACATTTGTGTTCAAATAAAAGCTTCGCCTCATATTTTTCAAGAGCTGATTTATAAGGTGCATTCCAGGCACATTTATTATCTGTACACGTAATATCTTTGAAATCTTCAAAGTTATTTCTGTAAGTACAGAATAATAGAATCAATAATTTAATAAATATTTAATAATTTTAGAGTTTATTGATTAACAAGAAAGAAAGATAAAGTCATAATTACCGGTTACAAAATAAAAGTACTACCACAATATGTTTGCAAGTACTTCCCAATCCAGACTTGCAAGAGCATTCCATACCAATTATTTTTCCGTTCTTTGAGAATTGAGCATTTATTTCATGAGATTAATTTCTTAAACCAGCTGTTTGTAAGCAAAAAGCAAGGATATGATAAACATCACTGTCATCACTATGATTCACTTTCCCACAATTCAAAAATGACCACAATCAATAATATTTTCTCCATCAATAAAATTCTTACTAGCTGCTGTAGCTGAAGTAAATTTACAAATTTCTTGTAAGTTTACATGCATTTTTAATTAAATTTTGGTCACACGCAATTTTTAATTTAATTTTATATCCTATCTACACGTTTATTTACAAGCATCAGCTGTATCCAGAATCCTACAATCGCTAGTTTATTTTTTAACCACCAGACGGCCAAAAATTAAGCCACGCCTCTCCCACGGATCTCAATAGACTCATATTTTGTATCACGTTTACAATATTTATCAATAATGTTATCTTGGTAAATATCAGTCGAATCGGCTGCTAAATTCATCAAGTCTTTCATACGTTTAAGAACTCTGTGTCTTTCATCTATTGGAAAAGTAGGTATAAAAACTCCTTTACGGCTTACTTTAAACATTGGTATATGAAGAATAATAGCAGCAGCTTCCTGTGCTGATAAAACTCTTGAATTAATAAATGCATTTGCAAACTTTTTAACTTTTTCAAGGTTGGTGAAATCTTCTTTAGAAAATTGCTCAATTAAAGTTCTAAATAACTTAGCCATATCTTTCTCATCCTTAACTATGTAATCAGTTAGATAGCTTATACAAGCATAAGGGTCACAAATGAATTGGATATCCATATTTGATTTTAGAAGGTTTAAGATATCAAGATTGTACGCATTCACGAATATCTCATTGCTTTGACGTTTTAAAAACACTCGTGTTGTTTTTAGAGGATATCTTGCAGCTTGAATATATTCATTTTCGATCATTTCAAGCTCTTTTAAGACTTGAGAAAACGGTATTTCTCGGGGCAGCTTACCCAATTCATTAAGATAACTTTTTACTTTTTCAACATGTAATTTAACTGTTTCATTTCGTTCCTCAGGAAGTAATTTAGTTAAAATTCTCGTTACCGGCATCGGCCACAAAGGGTAATGGAAACGACATGTTTTTATTTTTTTCGTTCCTTTATAACACGTGAATGTATGTTTATGCATCTGAGAGTTCTTTACATATGGGTTATTTTCGTCTAATTTACATGTTATAAATTGATCAATAAAATCAACACATTCTTTTTCAGATTTATCATTTTCTGGATTGTAACAAGGTGCATCTCGTAACCATGCTACCATATGACGATGTAAGACTCCTTTTTGTTGGACTTCATCTTTATGACAGTAATCTTCAATATAATGAACATTAAACAGACCATTTTCTTTAGCCATACACTGGATAATTGATGTAAAATAAAGATTTATGAAACGTGCACAATTTACTGGATTGTTACGAATCAGCAAGTCTTTTTCGTTACGATCTAGATTAAGTACATCCTAACTAGTTATCGTTTTGCCGTATTGCTCTTCATAAAGTTGTTTAAGAATTGGAATATTGTTATGTAAATTACAAGAAAAAGTAAGAAACACATTTGGAGTTCCAATTTGAGCCATTGCAGCAATCAAAAATTTTTTTTTATCTTCCATATAAGCAGGAGACCAAACTATTGGAGTGAGAAATTTGTAAGCTTCCTTTAAGAACATCGTTGGACTTTAAAGATTCATTTTTGCAACCTCTTCGCGTAACGAAATTCATAGAATCTCTCGTTCGCTTCTGTACAGTCATTTGACCGAGTAAAAGAACAAAAGTTGGATCATGCCGACAACGAGGATCTTTATGAGTAATCCAAAGCTTATGCTTTTCATTGGTCGTTAGAACTTTTTCTTCATCGAACGGTTCACCCCCCAAAATGTGTGGGTGACATAAAATTTCATAATCTGGAATGCTATATATTGGTTTTGGAATTTTATTTTCACCCGGTGCAATGATTCTAGTGACTTCTGCCATTTCACGATTTTGGTCAATGACTTAAACGTAATCACTGTCAAAATTTCCGTCACCTTCATTATTTTCATCATTTTCTTCATCGCTATTTTCATAAAATTTCTCAAATAATTTGTTATTAGGATCGCAGAGAAATTTTTTATCGTTTTCATCAACAATAAACGGAAACTTTTCCTGTGTTAATTGTGATAAAAACTCTTTATTTTCTTTAATGTTGTAACGCATATACAATGTTGATTTTCGAAGAAAGCTCATAGAATCTTTGACATCTTTAACAACAATGTTTTCAGCCATATAACTAGTTTTGTACTCTTTTTTACGTTTAATTTTAATTTGAACTACTTGAGCTTCTTCAGGACGACAAGGCAAACATTTCATCATTTCTCCTACGTCTACTTCAACATTTACTATATTTCCTTTAAGAGATAGTTGTGGATAAACTGTATATTGTTGAAGGGGTATGATTTGCAAAAACGGTAACCATGGTGATGAGAGATTTTTTGTAGCAGATTTTTTTGGTTTATTGCCAATTCTTAGACTGTTCCAACATGAATCACACAGAAACTCAGATTGTTTAAAATTGTATGCACAATCGACCATATTT